ACGTGATAAGACCTTTTGCACTCATTTCTGATATTCCTGATTTTATTCTGTAGGCTTCGGTCCATCCAGAAAGTGTGGATCTCCAATGACCAGATAATCCCAGCCACGGAATTCAAAATAGTCAGCAAATATGCATTCAAATGGTGTCACAGGGATGTGAAGTCGGATGGGTAGTAGTCGTGCATTAGAAGGTGCATTTCGATTACAGCTGCAACAGTTATCGCGCTTACTTTGTATGCTGTGAGTGATACCTGGCCAGAAAACAGTGGCTTGAGCTCTGGCTGTCATTCCCGATACTCCTTGGTGGGCTGAGTGTAGTACGTACAATATCTCTATCCGTAGAGTAGGTGGGATTACAATTCTGTCGTTGTATATTATAACCCCGTCGGACACCATTAAATCATTGCGGTTTTCCCAAAACGGTAAAAGATTTGGTATGAAGTTATTCTTATTTTTTAGGAAACCGTTTTCTATTGCTAACATTAATGCTTTAAAATCGGTATCCTTTTCTGTCTCCGCTTTGACACTATCCCATGTTTCTGCAATCATTTTATCTACGTTGTTTCGTATCGAGGCTATTATTAGTGATTCTGTGTTGTCAAAATCAGTATTTTGATTGCAAGTGGCTGAATTATCAGATTCCTTTGTGGTCTCTGCAGGGTAACGAGAAGTAGCATCTGCTGCCAGGTTTGTTTTTCCTGGTTGATGTTGGATGGTAAATTTCCATGGCAAAGTTCTCTGTTTTAGTCGAAAAAGTCGTGTGTTAGCAATTTCATCTAAGGTCCTATCTCCTAATAATTTGACAAGTGGTTTATGATCAGTTACTACCATAAAGTTATCACTACCTTTTGTGAAATATTTAGTCTGCTCCAGGCTCCATGCCACTCCTAGCATTTCGCCCTCAACTGGTGCATATCGTTGTTCAGCAGATGACAGGAATCTAGACCCTGCTAGGGTTATTTTCCATCCGTCTATACAGCAATCTGGGGAGTCCGATTTACATTCACAATGTTTTTGGCTTAGGTAATATCCTATCCCCAATTTTGACCAGCCGCATCTTAAACAGGTCTTCTTGGTAATGTCAAATATTTGGACTCCATCTTTAATTGCGTTGAGGATTTTTTCCTTTGACACGTTGAATAAAGTGTTGAGTTCGTCCGACCAATAAAATTTTGATTTAGAGCTAAGCAGAACTCTGAATGGGGCCATAGTTTCTCGAAGTTGAGCGTAATGTGATACTTGGGTCACTAAGCCAAACCAAGATCGGATGTATGTTATTGAGGATGGTGTTGGAAATGATTTAATGGCGTCAATATATTTAGGTAGTGGTTCAACTCCATTTTCAGATATTCTGAAACCTGCAAAATCCACTATTCTTTTAGCAAATTGGAATTTTTGTGGGTTCAAAATGATCCCAGCTTTACCAACAAGCTCATGAAATTCGCTTGTCCGCCACCAATGTTTGGCTAGGTCGTCATCGTAGTGGATGGTGTCATCTACACATCTTTGTTTGCCAATAAAGTCTGCTAAAATTTCGTCGAAACGTCTGTTGTAGCCATCCCCACTAGATACAAATCCTTGAGGAGCTCGGGTGTATCTGTAGCGCCCAAAAAGAGTAACGAAGGTGGTAAGATTCCTGTCTTCAATCCGTATCGAGATGCTATGATAACCATTCCATGCGTCGGTTACAGTTTTCCATGAATTTCTTGGGACTGAACAAGCTAGTTGGAAATGCGATTTCATTGTATGAGTTTCTCTGTAGCAGTACTTGTTTAAAGGAGATAGATCAACAGTGCGACGAGGCCCACCGTCATGCTTACGTGTGATAACCATTCTATGACACCATGTTGTAGGTTCTCCTAGAGGTACCTTTTCAATAACTCCAAGAGTTTCATCACGAATTAAATCCTTTTCCACCTGGTCTTGCCAATGGATTGGTATGGTGGCTGGAGTAAATGCTGCAACTGGTTTGGCATTTTCTTGAATTAAAATACTTATTGGAGGTTCCTCCATATCAGGTGAAATCTAGTGTGGACATGTGTTGAATGTTGAAGCAGAGTATCTCTCAAGGAGCCACGCTTTCATCCGTTCGTTATTTTCAGGACAGCAGACAAATGGAAGTTTGGTGGGTGCACCTGCTGGGAGACTTCTTTTGGGGCAATTGCACACGTGGGAGCTATTATTTTCACTGGATGTTTTGGTCCCTATAGTTTGGGGGCCTGAGTTAATAGCTCCGTGGAGGGCACTGCCTATCTCTGGAAAGTCCTTAGAGATGATACCCAGTTGGGTCATTGCTTCTTTAGATAGGTAGAATCCGTTTGCGTTTGGACTTATGTAAACTATTACTGCACATTCAACTTTGTGGCCATTAGATTGTCGTCCTTCGAGACGTAAAAGAATTGCACCATCTATACGAAATTGGGTTTTATTTGCGGCCAACATGCTATGTTTTATAGGTATTAAATTGTTTGCATTAAAGCCTGCACTGTCAAACCCTTTCCTAGACCATAAGCAGGACTGTGCACCGATATCTGTAATAACTTGTATATATTTTGGTATAATGGTAGGAAATGGAATACCAAATGCGACATAGTCTGATTTGTCAGTCCCACGCAGCTGAATTGTAGGATGAACAAGCAATTGAGCTGTGGCCCATCCATCATGGGTGAATATGTGATGGTTTATTCCTGTGCAAGGTCGTTTTACATTGGTCTTCATTTGTGATCTAATTTTTTTATTTGAATGCTCAATTGCACTTAACTTTAACACAAGTCCGCCTGCCTCAGCATCTTTGGTTGCATTCGATTTTTTATCATTTGGGATGATTCTGTTGTTAATTTTAGAAGTGCGAGATCTGAGCTTCTTCCAACAGTCTAGACACAGCTTGTGGGGTTTTTTGTTCCATCCTCTGGATGTTTCTGTAAATAAACTGTAAGATTCTGAGCAATCTGGACAGTTGGCTGTTATATTGGTCCCTTTACTACTCTGTGTATTACTCTTGTGTTGTTTCCTGAAAGTTGATACACTTGCTGTGTCAAGGGAGACCCATCCAAGTACATCTTTGCGGATGTCAGTTTCTGATAGCCCAGCAACAACAATGTCTCGTATGATAGCATCGGTAAAATCAACAGTTGTTTGTGGGTGGCAGTGGCATTGAACAGTGTATTGCAAGTAGCAGCCTTGCCTTTCAGTTTTGCATAAAATGGC